CAACGAACGTCCCCTTTTGTTTCACGAGGCTCTCTGGAGGGGTGTGGATGATTGAGAGCCCCCCCTGCTTCTGCCACAGGGGGTTAGCCACAGGACAACTTAGCCACCTGTTTCACCGGCGGGCACTGGCACGTGCTCATTTTGAAAATCTCTTTTTTGTTCTGGCTGCCTGGCAATGATTTCAAGGTGGAGGGGGTTACCCCCAGGCCCTCTTAGCAAACCAAGACCCCCCCCGCCCCCCGTTAGCCACTGTGGTGAGTGCAAGTGCCCTCTGAGAGTAATCAGTTTGACTTAACGCAGTGACATTGGTCGCAAAGCGCCAGTGCTCAGAACAGAGACACAATTACACACAAGCCTGTACACACAGCTCAAGCATTCATACCCAACCTGAGCCGAGATTAAACACAGCCTGTACACACATCTCAAGCAAAAAACAAGATCAGTGCGGCTACTCTCTGTCCTCTCAGTGTTGAAGTTTACACACTGGACCAGGTACTCATTTAGAGCGAGGGACTACCTAGGGGAGTCATACACAGATAAAGACTTTACACATTTCTCACAAATATCCTGTACAAAGCCTGTACACAAAGCTCACAAAATATATCCGATACAATGCTGTTGGGGCAAGTGCTGTTAGAGAGCACCTATTAAGGGCGGTACAGCACACTAGGGGGTGGGTGGCCAGCACCATGCCCGTTCGCCTTTGTCTCCTAAGTGGTGATGTTTACACACCGCACCAGGTGCTCATTTGAGGCTGAGTCTACCTGCAGGAGGCCCGTGAATGGTTCAGATAATCGTCACTGTGTGTTGGTGGTGGCCAGGTTTCTAGCGTGCACCACCACTCCCTACAAAGCTCACGCACAAAGCCACAATACAGCCTGAACACAGCCCTCACACACACAACCCGATCATATAGCTCAAATGGACACACACACTTTACATAGAGCTCACATACACACACACACTTTACATACAGCTCACATAGGCACACGCACTTTACATACATCTCACACATACACACACACACTTTACATACAGCTCACATAGACACACACACTTTACATAGAGCTCACATACACACACTTTACATAGAGCTCACATACACACACACACTTTACATACAGCTCACATACACACACACACTTTACATATAGCTCACATACACACACACACTTTACATATAGCTCACATACACACACACACTTTACATAGAGCTCACATACACACACACACACTTTACATATAGCTCACATACACACACACACACTTTACATACAGCTCACATAGACACACACACTTTACATAGAGCTCACATGCACACACACACTTTACATATAGCTCACATACACACACACTTTACATAGAGCTCACATACGCACACACACACTTTACATATAGCTCACATATACACACACACACTTTACATACAGCTCACATAGACACACACACTTTACATAGAGCTCACATACACACACACATTACATACATCTCACACATACACACACACACTTTACATACAGCTCACATATACACACACACTCTACATATAGCTCACACACACAGAAACACACTTTACATACACCTCACATAGACACACACACACTTTACATATAGCTCACACACACACTTTACATATAGCACACACACACACTTTACATACAGCTCACATATACACACACACTTTACATAGAGCTCACATAGACATACTTTACATACAGCTCACATAGACACACACACTTTACATATAGCTCACACACACACACTTTACATACAGCTCACATACACACACACACTTTACATATAGCTCACAGACACACATACTTTACATATAACTCACAGATACACACTTTACATACAGCTCACACACACACTCTTTACATAGAGCTCACATAGACACACTTTACATACAGCTCACAAACACAACCTTTACATACAGCTCAATACACACACACTTTACATATAGCTCACATAGACACACACACACTTTACATACAGCTCACATAGACACACACACTTTACATATAGCTCACATAGACACACACACACTTTACATACAGCTCACACACACGCAGCCTGTACATATAGCCCACACACACCGCCTGTACACATAGCTCACACACACACACCGCCTGTACACATAGCTCACACACACACACACAGCCTGTACACACAGCTCACCCACACACACAGCCTGTACACACAGCTCACACACACACACAGCCTGTACACACAGCTCACACACACACAGCTTGTACACACAGCTCACACACACAGCCTGTACACATAGCTCACACACACACAGCCTGTACACATAGCTCACATACACACAGTCTGTACACATAGCTCACACACACAGCCTGTACACATAGCTCACATACACACCGTCTGCACACATAGCTCACACACACAGCTTGTACACACAGCTCATACACAGCCTGTACACACAGCTCACACACACACACCGCCTGTACACATAGCTCACACACAGCCTGTACACATAGCTCATACACACACACAGCCTGTACACATAGCTCACATACACACAGTCTGTACACATAGCTCACACACAGCCTGTGCACACAGCTCACACACAGCCTGTACACATAGCTCACACACACAGCCTGTACACATAGCTCACATACACACCGTCTGCACACATAGCTCACACACACAGCTTGTACACACAGCTCACACGCAGCCTGTACACATAGCTCACACACAGCCTGTACACATAGCTCACACACACAGCCTGTACACATAGCTCACACACACAGCCTGTACACATAGCTCACACACAGCCTGTACACATAGCTCACACACAGCCTGTACACATAGCTCACACACACAGCCTGTGCACATAGCTCACACACAGCCTGTACACATAGCTCACACACAGCCTGTACACATAGCTCACACACACCGCCTGTACACACAGCTCACACACACACACCGCCTGTACACACAGCTCACACACACACACCGCCTGTACACACAGCTCACACACACACACCGCCTGTACACACAGCTCACACACACACACCGCCTGTACACACAGCTCACCCACACAGCCTGTACACATAGCTCACACACAGCCTGTACACATAGCTCACACACACAGCCTGTACACATAGCTCACACACACAGCCTGTACACATAGCTCACACACAGCCTGTACACATAGCTCACACACAGCCTGTACACATAGCTCACACACACAGCCTGTGCACATAGCTCACACACAGCCTGTACACATAGCTCACACACAGCCTGTACACATAGCTCACACACACCGCCTGTACACACAGCTCACACACACACACCGCCTGTACACACAGCTCACACACACACACCGCCTGTACACACAGCTCACACACACACACCGCCTGTACACACAGCTCACACACACAGCCTCTACACATTGCTCACACACACACACACAGCCTGTACACATAGCTCACACACACACACAGCCTGTACACATTGCACACACACACAGCCTGTACATATAGCACACGCACACAGCCTGCGCACACTGCGGGTCGAGCGCGCGTCACACGCACGCGAGGTGGACACGCGCCCTGAATGCACAATTGCGGGCCCGGCTGCCTTGCGAGAGGCGACGTAACAATGAACGTCAGTGGGGGAAAGGGTTTTTGCTGCTGTTCTGGTGAAACGCATTCATTCTCAGCGGCGAGCAGACACGGCACTGTCACCTGCGAATCATCGCCAGCGCAGCAGAGGCGACGCTTTATAATATATCAATTGTGCGTGTGTGTGTGTGTTCGTGTTGTTTTGTCGTGGTTTACTCCGACTGCCCGGCGATTCGAGTTCGTTCTCCGCCACCCGAGGCCAATGGTCATCTGAACCGGTCCCGGGGGCCTCCTCCCCTAGGTCGACTCAGCCTCAAATGAGTACCCGGCAAATATCGCCACTGGGGGGGGGGGGAAGACAAAAGCGGCCGGGCGTGGTTGCTGGCCACCGCACGCCCGCTCGTGCGCCGTGCCGGTCTTCATTAAGGTGCTCGCTAACAGCACTTGCCCCAAACAGCCTGTCAAAGCCTACACGGGGGATCTTTGTCTTTGTCGAAAGTGACCGAGATATTTCAACAGCCTTCGCGTCCAGAGAGCGTCCCCATGCACACCGCGGTAAGCGATGGAAAATGGTTAATAAATCCACACGTGTGCGTGAATAAACACTCATAAAATATAGACGTACAATTAATTCATTATATGTGTACAGTCGCATTGCATTTACCGCGAGGGGTTTATATGCAGTATCGTATGGCGTTATATTGTCATCGATGCTGCATTGATGCTGAGATCACCGCATTGGCATTTGCAATATATTGTGCATTATAAGTAGCCTGCAAAAATAATACACACATCATTTCAGCATCGGCATGTCACAAGCAAACATGTTGCACATCGCGTGCATGAATTACCACAATTTATTATAGATGTGCACGATCCTTTTCAGCCGGAATCATGTTTTATCATCATAATTCCTGCCCCCTAATCACCATTATTCCTATATATATATAAAATTACATTAGTAATATTATTACACAAATGTTGCACAACCCCATCAATACATAACGTTGCTGAAACATTATATAAAATAATGACTCAACATGTTCCATTATGTATATTCCACGTATCTCCCGCCCCCCTTACACACGTCCATTTACCGTATTTGCATACAGGAATAATACAGCGAATGCAGACATTAGTCGTACATATTACGGTGTGTGTGTGTGTGCGTGTGGGGGGTTGGGTGTGTAACCTATCTCTTTATGGTGTATGGGTTTATTCTTTACGAACCGGCCTCACATCAGCTGCTGCGTGCTGTGTATCTGTGCACACACGCCGAATGTGCGCTTGTGTGTACGCGGGGAGCCTAGAGCACGCGCTCGCATTGACTTGCCTTCCTCACCACCGACAGATTTAATGCATTTCCCTCCCCCCCCGCAACCCACCCACCCTCCTCCCCTCTCTCTCTCTCTCTCGCTCTCTCTCTCTCACGTCTCCTTTTCTCTAGCCTAGCCGATGCAGAGAGGTGTTCAGCGGTCAGGAAACAGCACACAGAGCGCGCTCCACGCTTAGATGCGCTCTCTCTCTCTCCATCGCTCCCATTCTGGGACTGGAGCATAGGTCGTTGCATTGGCTACCTCTCGCTCTCTCCGTCTACGTAGATTTTTGCCGTCTATGTGATAGTACTGGCAGTCAGTCAATTCGGTCTGTGGATTTGCGTGTGTTTTTGTTGTTGTCGTTGATGATGTTCTATATCGGCGCACCTGTGTGTATGGCATCGCTATCTTAATGCGCGGTCGGGTATAGCGTGTTGCGAATGGGGGGGGTGGGGTGGGGGGGATAACCGAGGATAAGACAGCAGTTTTTATTTCCCTGTGTTATATATTACACAAGGGCTGTGGGGGGGGGGAACAACAACCCATCTTAATTGTGAACCTTGTCGCAAGGTGTCGAATTTGGCGTGCGCACGAGCAAATAAAATGAGCTGCGATATTGTCACCAAGATGGGAATTTTATGATTTTTTTTAAGAAAAATTCTCATTAATTTTGCGTCTTTATATCTTGTTTTCCCTCTCCACCACCCACCCCCCTATTGTGGCTCAGCAACAGACACAGAATAATATATATATTAAAAAAAAAACCCAGAGAGACTGGATGTTGTTATCAGGGCTGTTACAGGGTCCCTGCCCTCTCGGCAGCGCTGAAGCCACGCTGCCGCATGACGAGGAGGCTTTCCATTCGCGTCCCGTCTCCTCCGACCGCCGGCGTTCACCGAGAACATAGCGAGGGAAGGAGGACACGGCAGAGGCGAAGCAGGGGGCTGAAGAGAAGAGAGCTTCCGCTGGAGAGAGGACATCCGACCATCAATCTCCAGCGCCGCGCCTACCCGCGGGCCAGCCACTGACTGAATTTGCTCGGGCAGCAAAAAACAGGACTCACCACCACCACCACCATCATCATCACCATCAATTTAATTAAGAGCAGCAGCAGCGGCGGCGGCAGCAGCATCAGCAGTAAAGCAGCCTGGCGAAGACGGCGAGATCTAGGGCTGGTAATAAAATTAATCATAAATTATAACGTGGATCGACGCGTCTCCTCTCTGATCGTCAGCCGCCTCCGCCATCCAGACGCATGATCAGCTCAGTGTGCGTGTCGTCGTTCCGAGGACGCAAGTCCGGCAACAAGCCGCCGTCAAAGACATGCCTGAAGGGCGAGATGGCCAAGAGCGAGGACGAGGAGCGGATAATCATCAACGTGGGTGGTATGCGCCATGAGACCTACAGGACCACGCTCAAGACCCTGCCGGGCACTCGCCTCTCGTGGCTCACGGAGCCCGACGCCTACAGCAACTTCGACTACGACCCCAAGTGCGACGAGTTCTTCTTCGACAGGCACCCCGGCGTCTTCGCGCACATCCTCAACTACTACCGCACGGGCAAGCTTCACTGCCCCGCTGACGTGTGCGGACCTTTCTTCGAAGAGGAGCTCGCCTACTGGGGCATCGATGAGACGGACGTGGAGGCGTGCTGCTGGATGACCTACAGGCAACACCGCGACGCCGAGGAGGCCCTCGACAGCTTTGACAATGCCCCCGACGACGGCGGAGGAGGAGGAGGTGGCGACGGGGACGAGGAGTCCGGCGGCTCGGGCAGCAAGCGCTTCGGTGTCGATGACCCCAGCGCGGCCGCCAAGTCGAACTGGTGGCGTCGCTGGCAGCCCAAACTGTGGAACCTTTTCGAAGATCCTTACTCGTCCAAGAACGCCAAGGTTAGTTTCTGCTGCTGCTGGTGCTGCGTGCGTGTGCGCTGTGTGTGCCCATTTCCCGACGGAGGGCTTGTCTACCCACTCTCTATCTCCACCTGATTTCTCCATCGCATCCCCATCCTCGAGCTGATTTTGCAGCTTCTTGCTCAATAGTCTGTCTCAAGCCTCTCTCACCATCCACCTTCTCACGTAACCCGCCTTCATCTTCTTTCTCTCCAACATTTCGTCATGCTATCACCGTCATCTCTCTCTTTCCTCATCATCTCAATCTACAAATCATCTCTCAACCCTCTCTCTCCCTCTATGCATTCTTCTCCCATGCATTCTCTATCCATCCATTTATTTATCTCCATTCCATCATCTTAATATCTCCATCCTCACCTTTCCTTTATCTTATTTCTCTCCAACTTCTCTCAATCATCTATTTCAGTTCCCTTGATAGTTTTCTCTCATAACCTCTCCCTATCTTCCCTCCGTTTCCCCACAGTCTATCTCCACCACATCTTCATCCTGTCGCAATGATAGATCGTATATTCGTTATTGTCCTTCCACTCATCCTCTTGCTCCATATTCTGTATGTACATCTCCATACATTTTCTCTCCGTCCTCTCAAACTCCTGCCTTTAATATCCTGTCATCCCTTCACATCCTGCCTCTCCATCTTCTTTACTTAACCTGTTTCTTCTTTAGCCATTCCTGACCCTCCATCTCCTTCCATCATCTCTCTCCAATATCTCACTCTTTTTTATTCCCATTATCTTTCATTCATGTGCCTGCTCTAAAGCCACCCTCTCTCATCCATCCACCGCCTTTAATTGCCTACAGCTCATACTGCATATTAAATTAGATGTCGAACTGTCGCAAGGAAACACTCAGCACACGGATGACCCATATTTACGCACAGCGCTAGATATTCATTCGATCAATAACCCTTAGATCCAAGTGAGAGGCCATCAGGACAATCATTCTCTCCTGCAGAAGTGTCCAGGGATGCATTTGTAAGTAAAAAAATATGCTAATCTCTCTTCAGTTTAATGTCAACGTTGTCGTTTAAATACTCAAGATTGACCAAGACTCATGGACAATATGACCAACATAGAACACCTGTTTCCTACAGTGAATTTTATATACAATAGCTCATGGTGGTGCTTATTGTGCATTTTGGCTGTATGAATATGCGACGTGTATTTAACAACACACCGTTTTATATGGAGATGCATGTTGTGTGTTTTTTTTCCTCCACAAAAAACTCTACGCGTGCGTATATATATACACGCACACGCGTGCCAGCAACCACATACAACACATATAGAACGCCGCGAATCATTCCGCATAGGCGAACGCACACGCGCGTTCATGCCGAGGACGCTGCGTGGGAACACACACGTGCGGTGTATTGCTAATGAGCGAACAGAAGCCAAGATAAAAAAAAAATCACACAACGCAACCGGCCCTCATGGCAGAGCCACCACGGCAGACAAGACATGAGACGGCGTGCCGGCACGGCCCCCCCCCCTACCTCCCCACCGTAACCCATTCGCTCCGCCGATGGAGCTGACGCACAAAATGCGGCGGAAAGGCGACGCCACACGGAGTGATGTAACGTGCAAGCGGGTGGTCGCAGCGAGCTGGCGGGCGCACGTCTTTGAAGACCAACGAGAGGGGCCCTCAGTCAACCTTGCACAAAGCGCTGCAGCAGGCAAGCGCGCGCGCGCGCACGCGTGCACGCGCCTCGCTCGGCCCGCTCGCTCGCTGGCCAATTGCTTGCTGGGTTCTGCAGGCAAAGCCATGCCTGTGTAATTTGAAACGCAACTGGTGCCGCTGGCATTTCTCTTTGGGACGTGACAACATGTCCTGCTGCATTGTGCATTTGCGTCAGAATAGGAGACTGAGTCATGCACTTTGCGACATGAAATGCCTTTGTCTTTATTTGTTTGCTCTAATCGTTGTCCGCATGATCTGTTTGTTATTTGCTTGCAAGGAGGGATGAATGGTGGCAGCTATGAATCAATTCCTCTGCATCAAGCGCTCTCTAAAACCGGTTTATCGGTCTTCCTCTCGGTTGAATCAGCGGCAAATGAGTACCTTGATGTACCGCATGAATGACGGCGCTGGGAAGACAAAGGCGGCCGGGCATGATGCTGATGATGGCCACACAATCCCTTTGCGTGACGTGTAAACCTTAATAGGAGCTCACTGACAGCACTTGCCTCAATACCTTTGGGGCAAGTGCTAAATATGGGATTCATGTATATGCCATATATTATTGGCATACTGCACACAATTCGACAATTTTTTTTATCTGTAAAAGCAAATGTGAGCAGAACTATGGTCTATATTTCGTAATATAAATACAAATATCTATTAGTCCATCAGCCTCTTGGCTGCCGGAGCAATATCATCAAGCAGAATGTCTTATTATGGATCTAAGTACATTCATACAGTAAGGCATCTTAAAAATATATATGTGCCCAGGTCGTGCTGTGATTAAAGATGATAAGCTCAGAATCTAAGGGTGCCAAATGAAAATTCCATCCCTTCAGGGTCAGTAAATATTAGAGCCATTTTGTGAAAAATCAACAGTGGGCACTCTACGGAGAGAGGGAGACTGATCTTCGCCATGGGAATGTGGAATTTCCAGCACTCGCTAAAGGCTACGGATGAAGATTAGCGCACTGCCATAATGTTTAAGCGACGAGACACGTTGACTTGTGATGCTGCAGTATAATATACTTATACAGCATACTGCAGTACGTTTTAACACGTAGGCTTTCGCGACCAATATTATTCACAAAGGTTTTTGGGTTAGTTCACGTAAGACTATTCTGGCAAATCGCCAAATGATGCTGGATGTAATTACCAGCGAAACGTCGTACTCAAATTGTAAATGTTCTGGATTTATTCTCGAACACACCGGTAGGCTGAAGTAGTAATGAATTGGCATTTTGTTTACCTGACAAATCCCTTAATAATTTGCTGCGTCGGGTGGTGGAGGGTTACGATTTAACCCAAAAACCTTGATTTTGAATACTGCAGTACGTGTGTGTGTGTGCTCCATTCCATATGAACTCAGTGGCTTTGAAGAGCACAAATCAACCAACGGTGGCGTCTCGCTTCCTGCCAGATAAAAGCAATCCCTTAACATTATTCAAGAGTAGACGATGGTGTAAAGTGTCACGGCCAGGCATTCGATATGTGTCTGCAACTCACGGCACACTGCTAACTTCCCAAGAATATTCTCTCAATGCCTGCCGAGCTGAAACATCCCCGTGCCACTTATGGGAGAGCAATACGGTAATTACACATTTCAAATGCGAATGCTGTAGCCCTGGGTACAAGACTAGTAAAGGTCAAAGCGTCTCCTGCCTCAAATGAGCGATGGGGCAACACTCTTGAGCTATTGGTGGATATTCCATATTTCTCATGGCAGGGCGCTATCGTCTGTACACAACAGCCATACATAATAACGTCTTGGTGTACTGGCCATCCACGTGCCATTGTACCTCGGGAATCTGTAAATGAAGACGGGAGAAACAATTGTGCGGAAAACTTGAATGCAAATATTCACGGCGTTGCTGTGTTGGATAGATTACTCTTGTTCCATTGTCTTTTACGATTGAGACACCCCGCCCTCTGCCCCGTTCATTTAGTCTAGGCAATAGTTTTGCCAGTAAAATAACATTACTCTATACTTTAGTTAATTTCCCTTTTCCAATTAGACTCTGTGCTGTCAGGATCATATCTTCAGATGAAAGAAAAGTCATTGGTTTCTCTCATAAGTAAACAGTGCATCACATTGCCAGCAGGGAATATTCAACTCTGTAGTTAAGAGCGTGCCATACATTTTTGACTTGACCATAAGAATCTAGAAGTGGGCGCCCTCCCCTAAAAATGCCACGTTCCCGACCGTTACCCCGACGTGAGTAAGGGGGCAGTGAGCCCAATCGTCCTTCTCGCCCCTTACCCAGTGGGCACCTGGCCTCGGGATTGTTGTCCACAGAATACCTTTACCACTCCCCCCTATCGCTCCTTGCTTTGTAATGGGTTTGTTAAAAAACTTATAATAGAATAATAACTTGGCGTTATCAAGCCCCCCCCCCCCCGACACTCAGATCAAGATGTCATTTCGTGGGCCAAAGCCACAGATAAAACCCAAACTCAGTCCTGCCACCACCGGACTTAGTATAGCCCTGGAAAAATGCCACAAGACTATGTCTTAGTGTCCTCAATAACGTTATCTACACGAGGCGATGCTTTACTTTAATCTCGTGGAAAGAGTGTTTTTTTTACATGGCAATAATATTATATAAATTCCCAGAATTGAATGAAGTCAAATAAAGTGACGTGAAAATCAGTTTTTTTGTGCAGTCATTGGTGACTGGACTGAGTCCTATCCGCTCGTTACGCTGGAGAATCTGTGATTAATCTTGGCTTGGTAATGGAATTTAACCCAGGATTCCAATGGTGCCAGCTTAGTGCTCTGACATAGTATTAGCCTCCTAAGCCACCCGCACACCTCATAATTATCTGCGTGAATTTGCATTAATTCTTGATTCATTCCACAACATTGATATAACACGTTGATCGCTGTTTTATGCAATATAGACTGCCCACATGCGGGTTCAGTTCAACGCTAGAGAACAGCATGCCTGATATGGTCGTGGGTCTCGCGATTTCTATTTGGAAATCGCTTCGATGAAGTGGCTTGGGTGATTCAGGGGGCCAATGTAATGTCCGTGCCACAGCACCGAGCCAGCACTGAAGTGATGCTGCATTAGAATCCACAGATCCTACCGGCTACTGCACCGAGGCTCTCGTGTGCAGAGAATCTGAAAATCTCCACACAGTAGCAAATCGCTGTGAAAAATCAACCACTGCACAGAGGGTGAAAACCCACCCACTGCTTCAGATGAATATAAAATTAGGTTCGATTGAAACATAAATTGCTTCTCTGTATCTCTTCACGAATACAATATGTATATTTCACTGTGTTGGCCCACTTG